GACGTTGGGCGCTGTCAGAGGTGGTTATCGCTATCACCCAATACATTGTCGACATGTGTCCACCCGGCACATGGGGTAAATATTCTCCTGAAGCTCAGTCAGAGATCCTCACGCGCGTCTGCTATGCACGCGTCTGGGCTTATGTCGGTCAACTTGCTCAATCACTCAGCTTGTTCGATCACTCATCTGATCGATTGATGGGTAGCTCGACCAGTCTGATCGAGCATCGGGCTACTCGATCGCCTGTGCAGTCAAGCCTTGGATTGTTCGATCGCTTGTGTGGTCGAGCCTTGGGCTGCTCGATCACGTGGATTCCCGCCTTTCGGCTTGGTTTGCTCCCGGTCCGCTCTTCTCAACCGGCTCACCAAATCGGTTCGTCTTTATACAGATAATATCCTATATCATCTAATATCCTATATCAAATAATAATAATAATAATAATAATAATACGAATAATGAAATGAATAAATGAACAAATAATCCCAAATATTTTACAAATTAACGGGGCATTACATAATGATTAAGCAATAATTAACCTCTGATTTCAAGAGTTAATCTAAAAACATATATAACAGAAAGAGTTGCTACTTTGTTGATTTTCTTCAAATTTATCTATTAATATTTGAAGTTGGATGTGGCAATTATTGATCCAACCTGAAAAGTGATATGTAGCAATGATATTTCTGAATTTGTGTTCTCATAATTTGGGATATATATCAGGCTTACAGCATAATTGAGTTGTCGTGCTTTATATCTAGAATTCTTAGTTTTTCACACAGTTCTTGTTTGTGTTGTCGAAATAGTTCGATTGCGTTGTTTAATTTTGAGTATGTACCCTTGTCCTATTTTTGTGTTAGAGTTGAGTCGTATAGCTTGGTTATGTGCAAATCATGAGCTAACTCTTTGGCTTTACTTTTAGGCTTTAGCTTTTAGCTTATTCGGATTTTAGGTTGATATTTTGTGCTGTTGAAATAGTTGGATTCATGTGCTATTGTCCTCTTGTACAATTCTTGCTAGAAATCTTTTATTTGTTTTGCTAGCTCTATCCTTGATTGAAAATTATTTGCTCATCAGTATTCAGTCTAAACAATAAAGCAAGAACATGTTCAAACCAAACAAAAGGTAGATTTCGAATTATACATAGTCCATGACCTGTTCACCTATGTTGATCTTGGAATTGGAATTGTCAAGCATGAGTATCTGTATTATGCTTCTTGCAGTTACCACATAGTAATTTTTTTATATTTTCGTCATACATGTAGTACTTTCTACTTAGTAATTTTTTTTTATATTTTCATTATACATATAGTACTTTTTTAGGTATGTTATTTAATTCTCTCTTCATTTGTCATGTATGATACAGATGGAATCACAGGACCAAGTTGATTTTGTATGCAGCCAACAACTTTCCAATCACACAAACCCTTCCCCAAATATAAACCAATTGAATCCTGATTCTATTCATTCCATGCCTCCACATAATATGAACCAATTTAATCATGTTATCTACCCTATTGCTCCGCCAAATGAAATGTATCCTCTCAATCCTTTTTTGGTACAAAAAAGGAGGCGAGAGCCTTAAACTACGATGTTACGAGGGTGAGCAATCCCTAGAACATCATGTTCGAGCCACGGTTTCACCCCGTGGGAGGGTCCTCAAATATATGAAGGCCGCCCGGCAAGGTCGATGCTAGAGATGCAAGATAATCCGCTGCAAAATTCACTTCACGATGGATATGCCGAACCTCAATCTTTCGTTCTTTATCCAAGAGGTCCGTAATGCCCTGAATAATGCTACTATGAATCCCAATGTGATCACCCTTGTGTAGCACCATATCAACGACGTTCTTACTATCCACTTCCGTAACCACCATTTGGTGCCCCATCTTCCAAGCTAAAGTTAAGCCTTGGAATAGCCCCCATAACTCCGCTCCCACAATCGAGCAAAATCCAATATTCATCGCAAAACCAGATACCCACCTACCTTCTTCATCCCGCAATAGGCCTCCCGACCAGGCCATTCCGGTATGATAATTGAAAGCACCGTCTGAGTTCAGTTTAATGAAGCCAGGCACAGGTTTAGTCCACGAGAGCCATCTAAGCTCCTTGCATGAAACCGCAGCATTTAAGTTCTTAGCGACCAGGGTGGCCAAAATAATTCCATCAATTTGTCTATCAATGGCCGTCACGCGCCCGAGGATATCCAGTCTAGAATTCTCGAAAATAAATGAATTTCTGTCGCGCCATATATTCCATAACGTAACACCAAATGTACAAACCCAATTTTCCACTTGAAAATTCAAATGATTTCGGAGGTTTGAGCTCACCCATTCACGCAGTTGTAAGTTGAATAAAATGACCTGCTGGCTGTGTTGGATTAGACGACGCCATGTATGTGCAGCGTGGCAGCAGTCCCGTAGACAATGCAAAATCATTTCTCGTTTGGCGCCGCACAAAGCGCAAGCAGCGCTCTCCGCTAGATGACGACGATAGCGATCCTCATTGGTTAACAAGCGTCCTTTAACGATCAACCACAGAAACTGACGAACTCTTTGGGGCCCCGGCCAGCCCCAAACGTCCTTCCAAATGTGTCCCGTACCTTGGGAGTATAACCCCGTCAAAGCGGTATAGGCTGATTTGGTGGTGAAGCGTCCATCGCCCAACCAGCCCCAGTACATAATGTCGTTGCCCGAGCCCGGAGAAGGAGGTAGAGTGGCGGCAATGCGTAACAAGATCGTCGCAGGCAGTAGGGGCTGAAACATGTCCCATCGCCAAGCTCCAGCATCATCCACAAATCTATCCAAAGTCCACGAGAGTTGGGTTTCCGGTACCGGGTGAAGGGCTTCTTGAAGCAGTAATGTAGAGCTCAAAAGCCATCGATCCGTCCAAAATCGTATCCTTTGGCCATTACGAACGGACCATCGGATCCCATCTTGAACTGGCCCCCAAATTCACGCGATAGCCCGAATAACAGTCGAGCCACGTGATACCTCAAGGGTAGAAGGAATATTGGCCCCGTTAAGCCCATACTTCGCTGTCATTACTTGGACCCACAAGGCATTTGGAGAAGTCAGTAAGCCCCAGCCCAATTTCAATAAAAGTGTCTTGTTCATAGTCCGTTGGTCCTTAAAACCAAGCCCACCTGCCACCTTTGGCTGGCACAAGTCGTCCCAGCGCACCAAATTAATTTTCTTCTGGGCATCCGTACTCCCCCATAGGAACCGACGACACCTCCTGTCAATGCTAGAACACACCGAGGAAGGTATCCACGCAGTTTGCATCGCATAGAAAGGCAATGCATTCACCACCGATTGGATCAGCGTAGTTCTACCCGCCAGTGACAACGAAAAACTTTTCCAACCCGAAAGCCTTGTTTCAGTCTTGTGCAAAACATTCGCGTAAGTGGCATGGTTTACCCTCCCGTGAATGATGGGCATTCCCAGGTACTTCCCTAGATTGTCAACACGTTCGTAGCCTAGCGAGCAGGTCATGTCACGAGCAACGTCCGTGGGGACATTCTTAGAGAAGAAAATCTTCGTTTTTGACAAACTAACCCTTAGGCCAGAGTCACGGCTGAACTCATCTAGAACTTTAGTTAAACAAGCAACCTGGTCAGTCGTTGCCTCGGTGAACAATAGTAGATCATCTGCAAACATCAAGTATGGGATCTTCACTTTGCCCCGTCCTAGCGTAATCGGCCTCCACTTTACTTCGGTGACGTACCGGTTAATAGTCAAGGCTAAGCGTTCCATGCATAGAAAAAAAAGATAAGACAAGATCGGATCGCCTTGACGGACACCCCGAGTCGGGGTGAACTCCTCACTGGGACATCCATTCCAAGATAGCTGCATTGAAGCGGAGGTGACGCATGTCATAATGCTCGTCACAAAAGCTCGGGGAAATCCAGCTAAGGTGAGCGTGCTTTCCAAGAATTCCCAGCTCAAATAATCGTAAGCTTTCTCGAGATCTACCTTGACCACCATATATCCCTTCTTACCCGACAAATTTCGCATGGTGTGGATGAGTTCTTGGGCTATGACTATGTTATCGGTTATGTGTCTCCCTGGGATGAAACTAACTTGAGCCGGACCAATTAGGCGCGGCATTAGCCCTTTCAGTCTGGATGTAAGAACCTTTGTAATGATTTTGTACACCACGTTCAGGAGGCTTATTGGGCGGAAATCTTTTATTGTGCTTGGGTGGTCAACTTTGGGGATGAGCACAATTAAAGTTTTGTTTAGTTGTCGAGGCATAGCTCCCCCTTGCAAGACTGTACGGACCACCTTGCAGACGGACCTCCCCACGATCTTCTATTTTTTTTTTGGAAAAAGAGCGCATGAAGGCCATCCAAACCCGGGCCTGTAGTATCTCGAGATCTGGTACTACCCTTGTTAAACGCTTCCACTCCTCCGGTTCCAACACCGGGAAATCTACTAGACTCGGTCGGCTGCCGATGGGTGGGGGACCCGCCGTGTATAGTCTTCTGAAGAAATCGACTGCTAACTGCTGCAAAGCGTGCGGATCGTTGATCATGTCCCCCTCGTCGTTTCGTAGGGCCGAGATCTTGTTGCGACGTCGACGGTGTTTAACCGAATGGTGGAAAAAGGCCGTGTTTCGATCCCCAAATAAATTCCATTCTCTGTGGGATTTTTGTAGCAAAAGTAACTCTTCTTGCAAAAGCACTTCATCGAGCTTCGCACTCAAGTCTTTCTCCAGGTTGAGAAGTCTCTTGGTGATGTAAGTTTGTAAGTGTCGTTGCACGCCTCCTAGACGGGCCAGCAGATGTTTCTTCTGGAGAAAGATGTTCCCAAAAACCTGAGTGTTCCACTTCTGAGCTTCGGAGGAGAAATTAGTTGCCGCCGATATGTATCAGAGAAGTTCCACGCCCTCTCGACCAACTCCCCAAAGTTGTCGTGCATGAGCCACGATGCTAAAAATTTAAAGGGCTTAGGACCCCAAGTCCCGTTATCCAAGTATCTGCAACATTGTAGCAACAGCGGAGTGTGGTCTGATTGGTGGCGCGGTAGATGAGTGACTATTGCCGAACCAAAGTGGTCCAGCCATTGTCCGTTTGCAATTATACAATCTAGCTTCTTCTCGATATTCGGTCCAAACCAAGTATATTGGAAGCTGTCTGTCTTTACGTCCAAAAAGTTATTTGCAAAACAACAGTCAGAGAAGCTTGTATCAAAGGTGCGACCCCGCGCTCCACCTCTCTGTTCTTGCAGGCTCAAAGTGCAGTTAAAGTCGCCCCCAAGGACCCACGGGGACTGGATACCATTTGCTAGCGTGTCTAGGGCATCCCAAAGGTCTCGACGTCCCCTTGGGTTCGGACTTGCATACACAAACGTTACCAGAGACTCCCACGCTTCGGTTTTCACAAAGGTATGTACAAATTGTTTATGGCATTTAATCACTGTTATCTCCACTCTATCGGTCCACAAGAGCCAAATACCGCCCGAAAAACCTAGAGCCTCCACGCGGAAGGAACGATCGTATCCGCTCCGTTTCACAAATCTATCGGCCTTCTTACCACTCACTCGTGGTTCGAACAGCGCCACAATATCCGGCTTATAGCTAGTCTTAAGGAGTAAAAAGGTCTGGCTAAAAGACGGCGAGCCAGCACCCCGGACATTCCAAAACATCAAACTCATTGTCAAACAATAAGAGAAAAGGGTGCTATTCACTAGAAATCATGAAAAACGACGGAGTTATCTGTTGTCTCCGCAACCATGGTATCTTTCTGAACATCGTCTAGTCCAGGAGAGGTGTGGTGGTGCGAGTGTGGGCCCTCGACCATCATATTATCTCCCGGATCATGAAGAGTAGGTTGTCCTGATAGGTCATGGTGTTCCGTAATCCTTACTGTTGTGTGATACGCGGGGTCAAGGCTGGAGGCAGCAGTAACAACATGGGTCGTTTCCTTAAAGGCCAAATCCATCTTGTCCGTCCGGGAACTTTCTTTCCCCATGGTTGTCTCATTAAGGCCCGAGTTGATACCATCTCGTTTTTTCTCTGCCACTCTTGATGGACTAGCCATTCCCCTCGGGTTATTCTCCCTCTCACCCTCTTGGATAGACATATCGACCCCATTAGTTTTCGCGCCGCCCCGCCCCATCATAAATGTGTTGGATTCTCAAGCTTGGTCCCTTGTTTCTTCCGTTTTTGCTTTCCCTTTATCTTTCTTAAAGTCTGAGATGGGTCTCCACTTATCTTTCATTCCCCTCTGTGTCACCACTTGTTTTGTGGAGAAAACAATGTTGTCCGTGTGTTCCTCCTGAAGGTTCCCTAGGGTATCGAAACGTGTTCCCACGTTTAAGGACATTCCATGTTGTTTCGGGGCCTTATTGGTAGCCCCTGAGTTATGCCCTCCGCTAGCTCGCCTCCTGAGCGGTGCTTGCATCCACGAGCCAAAGGCCGAGGCATTACGAGTTTCTGGTTCAGTCACACTGGCCTTATCCTTCTCAGGGCACTCCGTAGTTCCATTAGCACTAGCAGGTTTGGGGACGTTCGGGTTAAGCCGCTCAGGGCAGCTACCGAGTTGGTGTCCATAGCGCCCACAGTGGTAACAAATATCGGGAAGGCTGTCATACTCTACCCTCTGATGTTTACCTTGGATAGTGAAATGTGCACACAACGGTTTTGTCAGGTTGAGGAGGACTGCGATTCTCGTGAATTTGCCTCTTGTTTGTGTTGCGGTTTGATAATCCAACTTGACCACTTTCCCGACGATTTGACCAATAGAACGAAAAATTTTCTTGTGGTAGAGATGGACCGGCATACCCGGCAGCTGTATCCACGCCACAATGTTAGTGATTCTATCAGCTTTTTCATCAAAGTGTTCCGTCCATGGTTGGACGTGCAAGTAGTGTTGGTTGATAACCTATGGACCATCCACTAGAACCTTCAATGCGTCCTCCTTGTTATTAAACTTGACGTAGAAGTAGCCATTTTCTAAGTCCACCATTGGGCAGTCCTGAATGAAAGGCCAGAGGGTGATCAACCGTCGGTACAAAGTCGGCATACTCATAGTTATCCCCAAGAGTTTGAGAACGACCACTGTATCCCGTGACTTAATCAGGGAGTGCTTAAAAGATGAAGATAGTTGAATGTCTGGTTCGGACCGACTGTAATCGACAGTGACGTCATTGTCCTTGTTGGATTCCTGCTCCTCCGCAAAGTCCAGTATTACATGTGGCCGAGTTTTAGTGAGCGTGTCGTGGAAGCTTACCCTGGTTCCGTCTGGGAGGGCGTCAGGGGCAGCAGTAGGCTTACCAGTTCCGGCAGTAGACGTGCCCGGCGCGGCTTGGTGGGTATTAATGCTCGTGTTGCTAGGCGGAAGCAGAGGGTTAATTCTGGGTAGGGTTTGCTCCAGAGACTCCCCTGTGCATTTTAGGGTTCTTGGCTTCTTAAGAAAACGAGTCTGTGCTAAAGGCTGCGGGATGGTTTTCAACAATTCAGGGAAATCCTCTTGATTATGATTCGAGGAGCCGTCACCGGGATCAAGGTTCATCGGGATGTCATCGGGTGCCTTCGGAGTGTCGTCTTCCATTTTTATTAGTGAACTCACCTTTTTTAATAAAATTTTCCGAGGGTGAATTGGATTAACCCATTCTCAAATCTTGATATGCATAACACGCATAGATTTTCCTATCAAGATATGTTGAATATTCCCATTAACAACCCACAATGTTCCCAATCGGTCAAGCCTTTGAAAAAAGCAGCCAAAGACTCCCAAAATTCAAATACTTATCAATCATCAATTGCTAAAAAGGATTGGACTACCAAAGAGGAGAAGGCATTAACTGAGGCATGGCTCTATATCTCTGTGGATGCCGATGTGGGAAATAACCAAAAAAATGCTGCTATGTGGGCACGTGTCCTTGACATTTGGAAACAAAAAATGGGACCTGACCACCATACAATGAGAAACCATAATAGCTTGCAGTGTCATTGGTTCCAAATACGGTCCGCCGTAAGCAAATTTGTTGCAAAGTATGAGCAGCTCGAACGACATCCACAGAGTGGTACCAACCCAAATGACTTGGTAAGGCTGTTATTCTATCTCGAATATTCAGTAGACTTTTTTAATATTTATTTTTGTTTTTCTTATGGATTTATATACATGATGTTGGAACTAAAATCATTTGGTCTTAGTAGCTTTTGTTTTGGACTAGCCCAAAAATAATAATAATAATAATGCATATTTAGAATGTGGTGTTTGCATATGTTTATAAGAGTTCTATTAGTATTCAAAATTATAGATGAAGTGCCTTTAATTGTTTTTTTTTTCAAATGAACAATGTGAAAAAGATCTATGTTATAATTTTCAATATACATTGGGTAATCGAGTTTGTTAATTATAATCATGGTGGTGATTATCTTCAATAGATCTAGATGTTTGACAATACTTTACAAAATATATTATATTTTCATGTTTGATCTATTGATAATATTGATTTGCTAGGTGATAAAAGGATTACGCTTGTATGAAGATTTCTTTGGGAGCCCCTTCAAGTTTCTTCATTGTTGGAAAATATTGGTCAAGAACCCGAAATGGTGCTCAAAAATGCTGACAAAGGCAAATGTATCCAATAAACAAGAAACAATCAATATCCCTTCTCAAACTGCAGACGATTCTCCTCATGAAACTATCAGTGAAGAACCCTCAGCGCCCAAAGGTGTAAACAATGAAGAAATTGCTCGACCAGAGGGAAGGAAAAACTGCAAAGACAAAAAGCGATAGCTAAATGAGGAGAAAGGTGTAGTTGATGCATTAAACAAGTTGCAAAACACTTTAGAGAAACAAGTTGGCGTCAACGAACCAAGCTTGAATATGAAAGAGGAAGTAATGAAAAAAGAAATGGAGCTGAAAGAGCAAGTGATGAGAAGAGAGATAGAATTGAAAGAAGCTGCCCAAAAACAGAGAAAAGAAGATCATGCAATGAAGATGAAGGAACAAAGAAAACAACATATCATGAACCAAGATTTAAGTGTATTATCACCATCACTAAGAGCTTCTTATGAAGCCATGCAGGCTCAAATATTGAAAGATTGGGAAAATGAAATTCTTCACTAATTGACATTTCATATTCAGTGTCATGAATAAGATTGTAGTT